TTATACTGTGCCTTTTCTACAATTGAATCCCTACTCCTTCCAGGGCAGCTGCCACTGAAGCTGATGCCTCTTCAAGGGTCCGCTTCTTCTCAATAGTGTTGAATGCTTCAACCATGTCTCCTTCCTCCCAATCGTCGTAATCTTCCATTCCTATACCACACTCTAATCCAGCATTTACCTGTTCAAAAGGCAAACAAATTTGTTGTTTGTAAGAAAGAGACTACGCAAACTCTACAATAAATCAAGCACCAAAGTTCTATATTTATCGTTAGCATATGTCTATGCTATATAGCCCGTTAATCCATAATGCAGCAGGGAAAAATCTCATATCAATTACATCCAAAGCACAAGTCTATAATTGTCATGTTTTTTTATAATAGCACAACCAAAACATAATGACAAGTCTAGAAACGTTCAACGAAGGAAACAAAATCAACCAAATGTGTATGCTAGCCAAGAAAATAATAATAAGATACTACTGAGACGTTATATCATTGTGCTGGCATCAGAATCATACCTCTTTTACCATTTCCTTAACTCGTCGCAAAGAATTAAGAACACCAACACGAACTACTTTTTCATTTCGAATTATCCGAATGCCACATTCTTTCACTAACTTTCCTTCAGTTACCATGCAGCCAGCAACACGACCGCTGCCACTGCTGAACACAGCTCGAACTTCAGCTGAGCCAATTGTCACTTCATCCTATCAACATATAAGTAATAACCTCAACCATTAAATCTTTGACAAGGAAATTTTAAACAAACTTATATGAAGAGCAGCTCATTCTTCAGGAATTCTCCAAAGACTCAAACTTAGGAGATTCCAGGTTACATCAGCACTGACTTAATAAACCATGCCTCTAATGCAGTCAAACGGAGAAAATAAAAAACTAACAGATTTTCAACTAACCTGAACAGGCTCTAGAAGTCCTTCCATGGCATTCCTCACATCATCAATAAGGTCATAGATAACTCTATATAGCCGAATCTCAACACCTTTTTTATCTGCATAGCTTTTAACAGATCCTGGTGCTTTTACATTAAAGCCTAAGATAATGGCTTTGCTGGCAACTGCGAGATCAACATCACTGGTGCTTACATCTCCTGTTGCTTGCAAGAGGAACTTTAGAGTAACATTATCTTGTGGCAGAACCTGTAGTGCTTGTCTAACAGCCTCAATAGATCCCTAATCATGGAAAAAGAATATGATTTACCAGGAAGGGGACTACACAACTCAATGATAACTAATACAAGACAGACCATCAGTATTCAGTGTTACATGCTAAAAGCCTTTCAGAATTTTTAAGCAAGTGTGTACATTTGTGTGTATAATCACTAATGCTAACATAAAGTAAAAGCAAAAGATAATATCAATAATATTGTTAAGGTCTTTCCTTTCAAAGATCAATCAATTCAGTCCAACACAAGGTTTTGGCAAATAGCTGAGCAAAAAAAGAGTTATGGCAAATTACAAATGTAGAAGTGGGCAATCATGCATCTGTATAGTTTCTATCTGGATTTGTGGATAGCAACTTCAGCAGTATTAAAGAAATCAACATATAAAAATATTCTGAATTTGCATCTCATAAAATTATTTATGCAATTTTAAACAGTTGTCTATCCACTATTATCAGCTTATGATTGTGGCTTAGGATACATAGGTCAGTCAATTGTTGTATAAAAGCTCACTTATTGAGTGTACCTTCCAATAAGAGTGCAGAAAAGGGGAAAAAATAATCTAATATGCATATTTAAATTGATCAAATATCAAAATAACAAAGCAATGAACCAAAAACCTTTAAACAAGTAAATCTCTTTGCATGGTACGATATGCATACCTGTAAATCAACCTTTAAAATGATATTTAGTTGGTGCAAGTCTAACCCAGAGAGCTTTCCTACAGAAACTGCAGAAGCTAAGGAAGAAAGTGTGACCTTCACATCCCCAGCCTTGGCTGATATACGTTCATTACGCAATAACTCTGCACATGCCTCTGCCTTTTCACGGGCAACATCAAGGGAAGCAACTACCTCAAATTCATCACCAGCAATTGGAACATTATTTAATCCAATGACCTGTAGACATACATGACAAATATCTTTAAGGGAAGTTTTGAATGAAGAATTGAACAATTTGCAAAAGTTCCAATCCAAAAACTAAATGAACATCAGGAAAAACAAAAATAAAAATAATTGAATGAAAACCAAAATCCAAGAAGCAAGTCATGCATTTAATAGTTCAGAGGAAGGCTTTAAGTTGCTGCAGAGTGCTGCAATAGAATACAGTTAAATGTAGATGGCATAACTATGAAACTGATCATTTTGCATGTTAATGTTAGTTCAAACAAGGGCACTGCTCATGCAAAAGTTTCTAGTATGTCACTAAGGATTAGTGGTTATTCATCTTCTGATATTTATCAGGAATAAGCCCATTAGTTGATAATGATTTACCTTACCATCACTAATCATCTACCAATACCAACTATCTGACAAAAGCAGCTGTCAAAAACAACATTTTTTTCTCTCCAAAAAAACACTGATGAACTGTTTTCTCATCAAGAAGATTTTATGCAAACCCCCAAACAATGAAAGAATATTTTACCTAAGGTATATTTACTTCAGATTTTAGACATCACTTCAAAAACATCATCACATAACCAAGGTACTTTTTAATGGACATCATTTATTCTTTCCCTTTGCTTCCGCAATTGCTTTTCATTAAGACAGAGATAACTTTTGCAAATAAATACTTCATATTAAGTAAGTGAAACATTTGAATAAAAAAAAATTTAAGTTAGAAGGCTACACCTCAGACTATACCGTTTGTCAACTTTTATTCGTCATTCTAGACTATCTGTGACGGTCAGGGCAGAAGAAAGAGATGACGGAATTTCCCACTTTCTCCACTCACCATCAATTGAGGTAAGGCTTTGTAATGGTCATGCTTCCAAAACGAGGATACTCTGTTATCCCATTCTCAATTTCAACTAGATAATTTGTCGAAACTACTTGCCAGGGTCCTTAGGGACAAATTAATATTCTTGAAACCAAATTTTACAATAGAACTGCAAAATTAAACATTCTGCCTACAAATGAGATAATCCAAACCCAAACCCCATCTTACTAATCTATATTTATATTAATGTTAGCTAAGAAGATTCAAGGATAACAAAAAACTATGCTTAACCTGGTTAGATATTTAAAGAGCCCTTTAGAGATGACTATGGATAATCTAGAATTAGATGGTGTAAAATTTGAGGAATCCAAACAGTTAAATGAACAGCAAAATTATCAACAGACTCAAAAAACAGGGAGTAAAATAAAAGGGAAGAGGAAACCACGAGCAGATGGTTTTCCTTTTTTCTTGCTGTTGTAATCACTCAACTAAGTTAAAGAAAAACCGCAACCACCTAAGATTGCAATATACATCACTGATTTCCAATTAAAAGTACGGAAATCAACCTACATGTCTGAAACAGGAACATTGACCACTTTCCCCAGTGATTCTACCACATAGAATGTTTGGAAGCATTTTGCATTACCAGCTTCAATAATAATGTTTCAAGCCACTACTCATTATTACTGTCAAGGATGGCAACATAAATACAATGATAAGAATAAAGAGGGCAATGCAGAAAACTACAAACCTGCATGGGTATAGAAGGTCCAGCCTCATCCACACGTTTTCCACCATCATCAAATAAAGCCCGTACCTGTAACAATGGGATAGTAGAAGGCATTTCAACATCAAGCAATTACATGTCATAATAGTCTGTGATTAATTTTATACTAATTAAAATTTGCAAATTCAAACTCATAATTATGAACCTTTCCAAAGGCTTCTCCACAAACTACTATATCCCCTCTTTTAAGAGTTCCATTCTGCACAATCAATGTAGCTACAGGCCCTTTAGATTTTTCAAGTCCTGCCTCAATCACTCTGCCCTTTGCATTTCGATGAGGATTAGCCTTTAACTCTTGCAACTGACAAAATCAGGTCAAAGGTTATTGAACGTGACAAAGAAGAAAAAAAAGATTAGAAGGAACATATGTTTATTATATGTTCTTAACAATTCAAAAACATTAAAAGGTGATTCTTGAATCAAGACTATTTGAATTCTAACAGCCAGACAACCATGAAACAAGAGTGTATGCTGCTGCAAGAAGAATTTCAGAGCCAAGCAATGAAGCAGAGAAATCCATAATAAGAACTCACCTCTGCAACAAGCATAACTGTCTCCAATAACTCATCTATGTTCTGCCCTTTGAGAGCACTGATCTATTAAAGGGACGCAACAGAATATAAGCACCTGTAGAGTAATATACTGAAGCAATTAAGAAGATGCAAATATCATTATGATTACAAACCTGAACCATAGGGATGTCGCCGCCCCAGTCTTCTGGCATCAATCCAATTCCAGAAAGCTCTTGCATGACTTTCTCGGGGTTAGCTCCATCTTTATCTATCTGGTACATTGGGAGGAATAAAATTAGCTCAAAATTGATATTAACACTTGGAAAACAAAGCATTGCCCACTACCAGCAATTTTCCCACGATTTGCTCTCTAACTGTCAAGATTATAGAATGTCAACATAAGTACCAATGCCATACCTTGTTTATAGCAATTACAATTGGTACTCCAGCTGCTTTGGCATGAGCAATGGCTTCGGTTGTTTGAGGACGGATCCCATCATCAGCAGCTACTACAATGATCACAATGTCAGTCACCTGTGCTCCACGAGCCCTCATTGCCCCAAATGCCTGCAAGAGCAAGCAGTAATTAATATCAAACACAAGAACAGCACAAAAACATCACAGTTCACAAATGAGTCTATATCAGCATAGCAGCAAAAAGTTAGTAGTTACTCAATAATGGTGATAAACTGAAAGGAGATTAGAAATATATTCCAACTTGAAAGAGGAGATTCAAAGTGCAGGTTCTTAGTTGATGATGTACCTCATGTCCAGGAGTATCAAGGAAAATGCATGGCCGCAACTTCCCATCCATTGGTACTAGCACTTTATAAGCCCCAATTCCTTGTGTTATACCACCTGCTTCAGAGGACGCGACCTGTATATATCCAGTATTCAGACTCCAATTTAATAGCATGCATGTTTTGCCTATTGCAAATAGCTTTGCGAGTCAGTTAACTCAATATCAAATAATTTTTCAGTGTTAGACAGTCATTTTAGCATAAACACAGTACCATGAAGATTATTATTAAAAAAAGGGGGGGGGGGGACTAACTCCCACAGATTAATAAAGAGCTACAGCCTGCAAACCTTTTCATGGATGTGCAATGCAAAGAAGTTGGTAAGAGTGACAGCTTCTACATACCTTGCTCTCTCGGATATAATCCAGAAGGGTTGTCTGCCAAGCATTTTTCAATAAAAACACATTAGTAAAGTCTTGCCAGCAACAAAAGTTTCTAGTTTTTTTCTTAAACTGATAGAAATTTTGCAAAGAAAACATTAGAACTAACCTTTCCATGATCTACATGACCCATGATAGTGAGAACGGGAGGTCTGTCTTCTAGCTTGTCCAGGTCATCTTCATCCAGAAATTCCTTCTTCCTTGCCAGTTCTTCTACCTTAACAGGGTCAACATCTATGACTTCTACCTCATACTCCTTGCAAATCATCTTTACAATGTCTTTGTCCAATACTTGCACCCCATCAGGCTTAATCCCCTTGGAATAAAGATATCCAAGAATTTCACCCTCACTGATGACCAAATTGTATGCTAACTCCTCTAGCAACATGCCCTTTTCTTCTACCTCTAAAATCTCTACTTTAACAGGAGCTGCCTCTTTGGCAGCCTGGTATCTGGCTGCCCTTCTGCTAGCTTTACTCCATTTCCTTCCTTTCCTTGCCGTAGCGGCACCAGGAATGGACACATTTAATTCCAATGTGTCCTCATCAGTAATTTCAATATCATCATCTTTATCAACAATCCGCCTCCTTGGACCTCCAGCTGAGGCATTTTTCTTGCGGTATTCATCCTTAAACTTTCCCGGCGGAGGCCCCTTACCCGGTTTTGCAGGGGCTAAAACTGCCTGATCAATCAGAGGGTCGACCAATGGTTTCTTTGTCGCAAATTTGTCTATCAAAATAGGCTTCCTTTCTTTACCCTTGACAGGGGCAGTCTCTTCAACAGTAGACGACTTTGAAGCTGCTCCCACATCTTTCAGAACAGGTTTCTTCACCACAGGTGGAGGAGCTACTGACGGCTTTGTCTGTAACTTGGGTTGAGGTCTCGATGGTGGCTGCGGAGGCGTCAGGGAGACCCCAGATGGAGACTCCAATTTCCCCTCTCCTTCCGGTTCCTTGTCTTCCCTCACAATGCTGTTATCAACCTTTGGAGAATCCTGAACAACCTTCTGAACACTCGCCACCGTATCTCCTTTCCGCCACACACTCTTGAGCGTCTTCGTTTTCTTAGTCCCTGTCGCATCCACCGCTCTCCCATCACTCTGATTACTACTCGCATTAGACGGCCTATTTACATTTTCATTTACACCATTGGAACTCTCTTTCCGATCACCCGACCTCGCATTCTCCAATTTCTCAGCCTTATCCAGAACCTCGCCAAGCGATTCAATCACCTTATTCCTCTCCTCCTCCTTCCCATCCCACTCCACGGAATTCACTCCCTCCGTCTTCAACACCGGCTTGGGAGCTGGTTTAAGCACAACCTCACCATCACTCTCGGCGCTGCCTTGTTCAGCAACGAAATCGGCAGTGGTGACAGAGTATTTACATTTACAAAGCCCTCTGACTCTGCGCTTCGTCAAGGAAACTCTCCTAACAAGCGAAAAAGGCGGTTCCGAAGAGGTAGTGGCGGCGCCACCGCTGACCCAGACGCTTCCGAAGTTGACGAGGGAAGCTAGAGAAGGCATTGTTCCGACCAGAACCAGCATCGGAACGGATTCAATTCGTCATTTGAATTGAAGGGGAAAATGAAATTGAGGTTAAAATTGTTTTGGGAGAAAATGTGAGAATAGAATGTTGGAGAGGGAGGGAGTGGTGAGAAGAGGAGGAAGAGCTGCTGAGCCTAAAAACGGTTGGGCAATGTGTGGGTGTGGCTGCTTCTCCGCCTGTAGAATTTCTTTGTTTTTTTGTCTTGCGATAAGGCTCTGACTGCGGGCTTACAATTTTAAAGATTTTATTATTTTTATTTTTGTAATTATTCTTAAAATAAAAATTTATTTATACGTAAATATTATGTATTATATTTATATAAAATTTTAATTTTATATTATTTATTTTTAATAATTAAAATTTATTTATATTTTAAAAAATAATTATTTTTATTAAAAAATTATAATAAATTTTAATTATTAAAAATAAAAAAATTAAGTTTTATATAAATATAATGTATAAATTTATGTGTAGTTACATGCATTCTCTTTTCTGATAGTTTCATTCAGTGTTATCAATAACGGATAGCAACAAATAGCGGAAAGGTCAAAATCCGTTATGATAGCGTAGCGGGTAGCGTAACGGCTGCTATAGACAAATAGCGGGCATTTAATAAAAAAAATTAAAATTAAAATCTAATAATTAAAATAAGAGATAAATCCAGTAATAAAAGGTATAAAATGACCTAATAGTTTATAAAAATTATAAAAAACAACATTTTCAAGTCTCAACAAATAAAAATCATAGTTTAGAATGCTCAAACAAGACAATAAAATACTTAAAAGAGTACAAAAGTCAAACAAAATCGGTTCAGAAAAAAGTCAGATAATAGAATTTTAAAACAAAAAATCATTTAAGAGTCTAATAATCCTCATCACTCTCTTCGACTTCTAATTCTTCTTGCTCAGCCACCAAATCATCATCATCCTTGTCTTTCTGACTTGTTCCACCAGGCTCAAACTCCTCTTCTTCCTCCTCTAACTTTCAAGATCTAAAGTATGAGCTTCTTCACTAATTCTAGTAGCATAAACTGCATCAACACTAGAGGTTGTGGCTGGAGTTCTAAAGGTTAGTGATGGAATTTGAGAGGTCAAGGCTGCAGTTGCATTTCTTTTTGCTTGTCCCCTAGTATAAGTTCTAATTTCTCTTGCCTCTAGTATAATTGTAATATAAACTTGTTAGTTGCTTCAATACAGAAAAAAAAAAAAAAGAAGAAGAAAGAAACAGAGGTACAATTGCAGAAGCAAAACCAAGCAAAGAAAAAAATAATTGTCACATGCTTTTGTGTCTAACTTTCTATTTCTAATTCCAACTTTTTGTTTTGGTGTCAAAAAGAAAAAAGAAAAAAGAGAGAGACGGCACTTGCAGAAGCAGAACCAAAGCCAAAAAATCTGAGCTGTGAGACTGAGAGTGGCCTTGCACTCTTCAACTCTTGCTATGGCTGATGGGGACTAAGAGGAGACTAGATGGTGCGCAAAGTGGGGAGAATATCAGCACCGAGACTCATGACGGTAGACCAGTAGAGGAGAGTCGAGAGGAGTGTGCTAGAAGTGTGGAGAACAGATGTGAAGAGTTGTTTTAGGGTTTTCTTTTTTTAATTTATAAATAGAAAAGTTGAAAAAATAAAATTAACCTTGAAAGCTTTTAACTTAAACTATAAATGTGGGGTTAACATGGTAATTTAACAAAAAAAGTCAAGAAATTTAAATAGCAGCTGCTATACCCGTTACCCACTATTTGTATAGCGGCCGCTATTAACGGTCATAGCGGCCGCTATTGTTCACCCGCTATGCTATGGAGAATTTTCATAGCGGCCATAGCTGGCCGCAATGCTATACCGCTATAGCGGCCGCTATAGCCGCTATTGACAACACTGGTTAGAATTATTATCATAAGTTTACAAAGGATGTCAATTTAAAATAAAAGGCACAACAGGGAGCATGTTTCTTCTAAAAAATAAAGCTAAACACAACTATCTCTTCCCAAATCCCATCCTAGAAAGGTGCACTTAAG